CCCGAGGAACGGGGCCTTCCAGCATCCCACTGCCACCCCACACTGGCCCCACCGCCCCAGCACATCGCCCCATCCGAACCAGCCAGGGCTTGTGCCTTTGCCATGGCAAAACATCTCTGCCAGCACCCTCGGGAGAACCGGAGCCAAGGGAGGGATGGTGGGGAAAGGAAAGGGGCAGGGAAATTTGTGCTGATTGAGAAAGGGGGTGCAAGAAGCCAGGGTCACATGTCCGAGGTGGGGGGTGCTGCCCCCCAAGTCCTCTGGGCTCACCACAGAGCTGCCAGGGGGCAAAAGGTCTCCCAAAAGCGAAGTCTCTCAGAGGGAGATGCTCCACTCGCCCTCCCGAGCCAGCTGTGCCAGTGCCCGCAGGCTCCTCTCGCCAGCGGGACGGCGCCACTTCGTTAAACACGGGCCAGAAGTCTTAATGAGCGATGGGGAGACCCAGCACCTCCCCTGCCCACTCCGGGGCTGCTCCACAAAAACCGGCCCCTCGGCGGGGAGGCCAGCCCTTGGACCCCGCAGCAAGGACAGCAGCGTCCCTGGTGCCAGGAGGAGCTCCAGGTCTATAGGTTCTCGCCAGGCTGGTACTGGGGCTCTGTCGAGGTGAAGTAGTCCTCCAGGAAAGCCTGCAGGTACTCGAAGGTGGGTCGCTCCTCCGGATCCTTCCGCCAGCACTGGCACATGAGGTCGTGCAGGGACTCGGGGCACTCGGGCGGGCAGGGCATGCGGTACCCCCGCTCCACCTGGTCCAGCACCTCCCGATTCACCATCCCTGCGTGCGGTCAGAGGAGACATGGTGTGGATTAGAGCCAGGCCAGATCCTGCACTGTGCCTTTCCTGGAGGGGACGCCAAAGGCATTGTGCTGCGATGAGCCCTACAGGCAACCCTGGTGACCCAAGGAGAGAGGGACCCCACAGCCCGTCACTGTGCTCAGGGACCAGAGCGGTACAGGGCGGTTGTGACCCTGCATTCTGCTGCCCCAGCAGGGCAGGATCCAACCTGGGCAGGGGCAGCTCACCCCCAAGCCCGCCCTCCCTGCCCAAATTGCAGGAGACACTTTGCATTAGTTTGCTCCTCTGCAAAGATGGCAGGAGCCAGGGGCAAGTCCTGGGTATGGGTACCTGGTGTCAGGGCACCGCAACAGGGCTGGGGTTTCTGCTGGCGGGTGCCAGCCCTCACCTGGATATGGCACTCTGCCCTTGGTGGTCAGCTCAGTCAAAAGGATGCCAAAGGACCAGACATCCGACTTGATGGTAAACCTGCCGTACAGAGCAGCTTCGGGGGCCGTCCACTTGATAGGGAACTTCGCACCTGGATGGAGAGGCGGGGTGAGGGGCTGCTCCTGGCCCCGCGATGCCTGGGGGTGCATGGGGCTGTGAGTGCCTCCAGGACCCCCGTGCAACCAGGGCCATGCTCTGGCTTCAGAGGTAACACACTCCCCTGGGAACCAGGG